ATTTAAGATTTAGTCTTCTAGTCTCATTTGCCATTTAGAGATTCGTTTTTTCCAATGTGAGGAGTTATTTTCAGAGTCCATTATTTTGTATCCATTCTAAATTGAAACTGTAGCAGCTGCACTATATACAGAATGGGTCCCACATATATGCAATAAATGAAACCACAAGTAATACTAGTCCGTAGAAGTGTAGAAAAATTAAATATTAAATTAAAACCCGTAAAATAAAAAAGTGAAATTTTCAAACAAAATAAATATTAAAATAAATTCAGTAAAAGTGAACACTCTGTTTAGACAACGTACCTTGACCCCTTGGAAGAGTGACAACGTTGCACGCAGGTGGGACGCCGACAAAAGACACCGCTGTCGATATGTCGCAATACCAATAGTTTGCACTGCGTGGCAACGTCGCTTTTTAATGTTCAAGGATTCAAGTTCATTGAATCATTGACTTAGTGACCCAATTCTATAGAGTGTTCAAATTTGCTTAAAATTAAAACTCTACTTTTTGACCTAATTACTGGACCGATTACGTTCATTTTTTGTATATCGTCAGCAAAGTCGATAACAAGTATATGGTTTCATTTATTGCATATATGTGGGACCCATTCTGTATAGCATTTTGAATTATGTGAAAGTCTGAATCAAGTGGTATATGCACAGGAAGAAGAAACAGAAACAGAAACTTTTTTATTCAATGTAGATTATAAACAATACTTATTGAAAGTCAATTTTTTCATTTACCACTGGTTTGCAAAAAAAAAAAACCTCTGTCCTGGGAAGAACCAGCAAGAAACCCAGCGGGACTATTTTTTTTTCAAATAATAGCTTACAATCATGTTTACAATTAACAACACAAGACAAATTCGAAATAGCTTGGTAGCGATCACCCTTCCCAGGGGTTATTATCATCCATAAATTCCTAAATATTATAATAACCCTTTTTATACAAACTTAGTTTAATAAAATTTTTGAACTTTGCGTATGACAAATTTTGTATATTTTCTGGGATTTTGTTGTAAAAGCGTATACATCGCCCCAAGAATGAATTACTGACTCGGTGGAGTCGAGTAACTGGTACTGCTAGCTTGTGTCTGTTCCTAGTATTTACAGAATGAATATCACTTATTTTTGCAAAACTACGTTTATTTTTGTGTACGTACATTACATTTTCATAAATATATTGAGAGGCCAGAGTTAATATATTAATTTCCTTAAATTTTTGTCTCAGTGACTCTTTTGGTTTTAAATTATATATTGCTCTAATGGCTCTCTTCTGTAAAATAAATATAATTTCAGTGTCAGTCGCGTGTCCCCATAGCAAAACACCATACGACATAATGCTATGGAAATAACTAAAGTAAACTATTCTTACTGTTTCAACACTGGTAAGAGTTCTAATCTTTTTTACAGCATATGCTGCAGAACTACGTCTGCTAGCTAGTTTTGATATATGAGGGAGACATTGAAGCTTTGCGTCTAGTGTGATTCCAAGAAAAATGGTGGTATCAACAAGACTCAGTTCTTCCCCATTTAAAATTACATTCGTATTAACATGTTTGACATTAGGAGTTACGAATTTCATACATTTAGTTTTAGTTCCATTTAAATGCAAATTATTAACATTAAACCAATTGACTACCTTAGCTATAGCATTATTTACTTCGTCGTAATTTAATAACTGTCGTTTTAATTTGAAAATTAATGAAGTATCATCATCAAATAATACTATATCATGGTTATCCCCTACTATGTAAGGTAAGTCAATAATATATACAAGAAACAGAAAGGGGCCGAGAATTGAGCCCTGAGGCACGCCCATTTGTACAGTCAACCCGGAAGAACTCATACTATTAATTACAACTTTTTGCGTTCTGTCACCGTACACCGTAGTGTTGAAGTTTCCTGATTAATGTTTCATGGTGTACACAATCGAAGGCCTTGGATAGGTCACAGAATATACCCAAAGCATCCTGTGAATTCTCCCATGCATTAAAGATATATTTAATAAGTTCACCAGCATCAGTTGTTGAGCGACCCCTTGTGAAACCAAATTGATTTTTATGAAGTAAATTATTTACATTAAAAAAAATTAACATTTGATCAAGAATATTTTTTCAAAAATTTTACTAAGTGTTGGCAGTATAGAAATAGGTCTAAAATTAGCGGGGTCCAATGTACTGCCAGATTTAAATAAAGGTATTACTTTACTATGCTTCATTAATTCAGGAAACACACCAGATTTGACACTAGTATTAAAAATAATAGATAGTTGAGGTGCGATTGCATCTATTATAGACGCAATAACTTTAACGGAAATAATAACACAATAACACAGATCGGCGGTTTTCTTAATATCAATAGTCTTAAAATATTTTAGAATATCTTTTGATGACACTATGAAATGTAAAATTCTTTGTACACGCATTTACATTTTGTTTAAGTAATGATTCGGCGACGGCAGGAGAAGAATTCAGTGACTTAGTGGTTAAGATAGGAATATCAGTAAAATATTTCTCGAAAATCATTGCAACGTCCTGATCTGATTCAATTAATTTATTGTTAAAACTTAACTGATAGTTCGAATTACGAGAGCTAACCTTCCCAGTTTCACTATTAATTAATGGAATTATGGAAGCAATTGGTTAATGTAATGTACAATACACATTAGTTTTTTATAAGTTTTTTGTTCAGGTATGCTAGGTATAGTTGTAGGATCGACATTTTTATATTTATTTAAAAGCATTGCAAATGTCCCATCAATTTTATTTCGTATGTCCCCAAGAAGTTTGTTGTCATTTTGTTGGTTTTCATCATCTTGTTCTGCGTTATATTCTGTGGGTATAATTGTATCCGAGGAAATTTGTGTATTGTTAGGCTATGTTAGCTTTCATGTGTCCCTAAATTCTCAATGGCGGGTTGGGTATAGTCAAATCTATAATTGTATTCTAAGAATATTTCAGGTTCTGTGCCGTTATTTGCCGTCTTATTCTGGGTACTAACCTCATTTCGCCTGATTAGGCAATTTCATCCTGTAACTCTTGGAGTCTGTTTGCACATAATAGTTTATTATTGATGATTGCTCTATATTGATCTGCTAGGCGTTGCTCAGATACGTGAGAAAGATATGGGAATTTGGTGATAAAACATTGATCTAGAGGATGTCCGTAAGTTTTCTTAGTCCCGACTGTAGTAATTCTGTAGAAAAATTGTAGGTATTATTAAATTATTCTTTTAAATATAGGTCTCTATGGGCATTGATGTATACAAAAACTAAATATAAGCTGTTAATTTTTATCCTGAGAAAGTCAAAACAATAGTGAGTTGGGATCAAAATTGGATTATTACCCTCTTTAACAGATCTTCTATTCTGTAGATGTCGGAGCACGCCCACTGAATAGAAGATCTGTAAATCACTTTACCAAAACCAGAACGGACATTAATGAAACCAACTTATTCTTCTAATGTCCCCTCTACAGGGATTTGTCTAACTATTCCCATTCAAGTGACATTATATGAGGGTATCACAGTTTCATCATTAGCTACCAAAAGGGCTAGATGATCGATAAAAATATTGGCGTCAGTTGAACTTTTGAATTCAACGGATATTTTGTTGTGTCCTACTCGCTTGACACCATCGCAAACAATATTTTTGATATTATTGTGAAAAAGGAAGTGGCCAAATTTAATAAGTTGTAACACTATTCCAGATGATAAGTCATTCGCTATTTTAGTCATATGAAATATAAAAGCTGAAGCATCCTCATCGGAGTATTTAGACTTTTGTTTTCAATATAATCAGGGTGGGTATATATAGATTGAGTCAATGGTAATGTTTGTGCTGGGTTTATTATCAACCTTTTTTGTGGGCTAATTATATTAGTACTGCTTTGCGGTCTTTTACGATCATACTGATATGTGAGAATGAGGATTACTGGGAACAACATCTGGATCCGGAGGATTCTCCTCCATTTTATTTTAGTAAATTACATATAAAGCTAAACTACTAATTAACAATTACTAAGTCATTTACAATTTAAAACCAACACCAACACAAATTAAGCTTAATGAAGGTAAATTATTATCAATATTTGCTAATATAGAATGGCAAAATTTAAGTTCTAGATCATGGACAACTGATACATAGGGTAGTTACTTTACTATAACTAAAGTTATAGTTGACCTGTGGTAATCCGATAAACGTTTTGCAAGGCGGTGTCGAATTATCGAATTTGTCGGACTATAGAGTACTTACACAACCCCCTGGTAGTCCGGAACTTTTTGAAAAAAAAAGTATCTTCTAATTCAACTGATTACATATCAAATATAAAATAATAAAAATGTAACATTTGAACTGCGACAATACATGTTAAGCTAGATTCGTGGTAGCGTGAACTAATTGCGACCTGTTTGTACACATATTCGAAAAGGACACCTCTCCTCGTGGCGGATTCATAGCGTGACTCGAATCTACCTACAAGTTTTTTTTATAGGATAGGGTGACAAAAGAGCACACAGTCCACCTGATGGTAAGTGGTTGCTGTGGCGCATAGACATCTACATCTTTCCTCTGAATGCCTCGTTTCCAGCAAAAAGGGTCTTCGGTTCCCTACACTCATCATATGAAACACTGCAGCATTAAGCTACTATTTTACGCTGGTATTCTGTGAGAGCGTGGTCCTTCCTCGGTCGAGCCGACCCATCCGTGCTACAACTATACTTTTAATATAACTGCAGCATCGCTCTACCAAAAATTTAAAGAGATATGTCGGATTACAAGGGGGGATGGATTAGTCAGGGGCTGGATAACCAGGGATGCACTGTATTACTGTAGTAGAAGTTTAGCAAATGGGATAATCCAAATCAGTTGTATTGGAAATTGGTGCTTCTCAATATTGTCTGTATTGTCTGCTGATTTTTCTTTTATCTGTCTCTACTGCCTGATAATTTTTATCTTTATTTTTAATTTTTAACTATATGTTATTTTACGATTTTTCCAGTATCCGCATAAGTCTTGTAGATGAGTCTATGGTTATCAGAGCTGCAGCCCTGAGAGTTCTCCGTTATTTAATAAAAACTGAGAGTGATGTTTCCTCATTCAACATATTGAAATTGCCACATATTGTGACAAGGTTTGTTTACTTATTTATACACATAATAATGTAATTGAACTTGAAATGAAACTTTATGTACTACTGTTCACTAGAACTTTGACCTGAAGTAATTCTAAGCGTTAAAACATACTTTGTAGGTTTGTTCGGTTCCCTCACAAGGTGTCTGCTAAAATTTTAAAATAAGTCAATATACCAATTTAAAAAATGTGTTAAGAAATGATATCTCAAAATTAATTTTCTTCCAAAACTCTGTGAATATAAATTTAGAATTAGAAAAAATTATTTTTACGTAAAAATATTTGTATTGTGGTTGCGCGGAAAACCATTCGCGTTTTTTATTTGACGGTAGGAACTTGTAGAATCATTATTCCTTTCCAAACAATATCATTCGTACCCTCCTATCGACACATCGGGGTGGTGGGGTGGGAGGGGAAAGAAGACGATTCTAGAACATCGCGTAATCACCCGAGCCGAGGATATATAAGACACGCGCGACCGATGCGCGAGCCTCTTCTCCCGCCGCAGTCGTCGTTGAACTACAACCTCCTCTTCCCGCGCGCTCGTTTGGAAACACCTCACTAGTGGAAACCGCTTTGGCCTGGAAGCAGTCGAGCTCCAGGAACCCGCCTCACCTCGTGTGAGATATCGTCGCGCACCGCCTCTCTCCGGAGTGTTCCGGAAGTCGCCGCCATAGTGATCGACAGGAAGAAGAAACCCCGGTGAGTCAATATTCCTTAATTATACCTGCTTGCTAATAGTTTAACCCGCTCCAATCTGTGTTTTTTTCCTAGTCAAGCAGGATTCCTTTCATCGATTCGACAAGTAATAGTTTAGTTTAGGGAAGAGCGAGTGCATTGTACCGCATGCTATAGTAGTCGCTTTTACGTAAGCGTAGAAGCAATCGCATATACAGTCCACTTTAGTTAATATCTCGCGTAATAGGTTTGAGGTTTGACCGGGGAACTAGACTTTCGGCAGCCTTAAACACGTGGCTCCACCATTTTATGGTCACTTCGGCAGGATCTGGATTGGTGTTTAGTGGTTATCCAACCATTTTCTGGTCGAATTATTAAATTAATTGTTTAGATAACGCACTCTAATTTATAGAATAGACTTAAATAGTGTTCGTTTAAATTAAAATTTTGATTTGTTACTCGCAAACAGAATTATTCATTTAATAGCGCTCGTATTTGGTTAAATTTAAAGCTTATTAAATAATTGAAACGGCGTGATAGCAACCGTTTGATACGCTTACCCCACAATTTTTATAAAATTATTAGGTTTAGCAAACGACGCGTAGCCTTGACTGCATCGGGCGCTCGATCTGATTACGTAATACGGCACGCCGAGTATTCATCCTACGTCGTTTATGCGTGTGAGATTAATTGTGATTAATATAACTTTATTATAATAATTTAAAATGGCAGTTAGTGGAAGTGAAATCAAAATTAAAACGCTTTATGCCAAGAGGGACATACTCTTTTCGCGTGTGCAGAATATAAGTGATTATATAAAGAACATTCATATAGAGGCAGTACGGGAGGCCTTTTTAAATGAAATCGAAACGATAGATAATTTGCGGACAGATTACGAAAGAATATTAGATCAAATTAATCATTCGGAACTACAAACCGACCCGAAATACATAGTGAACTACCAACCGCTGCTGGCATTCGAAGATATGTTGTGTCGCGTGAAGAGAACCGCAAAATTGCTACAATCTCAAGGTGAAGCGAAGCCTGAAATGCAGGTACGCCCTCGTGACTCAATTAGGTTACCGCCAATAGATATTCCGGTATTCAATGGTGATATTAAGACGTGGCCCTTCTTCTTCAGTAGTTTTCAAAACAATATACACAACAACCCATCGTTATCGGACGCTGAAAAATTATATTACTTAATTAGTAAACTTAGTGGCAGAGCACAGTCGATCTGCTCGGGTTTTACACCTACAGCAAACAATTACGTATTAATATTTGAAACGCTTAAAACTAAATATGAAGATAGGAGAATGTTAGCTTCCGAATATTTGAACCAGATATTCGATCTTAAACCTATATCATCCGCGAACATCAACGGCTTAGAGCAGTTTCTCGATAAATTTGTGGCATCGGTGGCTGCACTTAAGAATTTGAAGTTTAATGACCTCATGGACGTGGTGTTTCTCCATATAGCATTAAAGAAATTAGACTCCGACACCGTGCGTGCGTTTGAAATGGAGCATCGTAGCTCGGAGATGCCTTCCTTTCATTCATTAGCATCGTTCGTGCGAGATCAAATAAAGGTGATGCAGCGCTCACCGAACGTTAAACAGGAGATTAAAAGGTGCGTCGACCGTAGACAGACTCAACCATCTAAAATAGCAGGGTCGTTAACTTACGTAACCGCTACGCCGACATCACTCCAGCATACTTGTATAGTATGTAAAGATAAACACGGTAATTTATATAATTGTGCGACTTTTCGTAAATATTCACCAAGCGAACGTTATAAGTTAGTAAAGACAAACAACCTATGTTTGAACTGCTTAAGCGATAAGCATTTAGTTGCAAAATGCAATTCGAGTTCCGTATGTAGCAAGTGCGCCAGGAAACATCACACGCTATTACATTTTGAAAATAGCAACATAGCGGCGTCAAGTAAGGCGGATAAGGAATTCACCCCTACTAAGGTCAACGATTCTAGCGGTCGACCTGGTGATGTCGCTCTGTGCTCATTGGCAAATATGGGAGTACAACCTCCTTCGACCGTGTTACTGGGTACGGCGCGTATTTTGGTTAGGGATTCGCGTGGAAACAAACAAAGCGTCCGTGCACTGCTGGACAGCGGAGCCCAAAATAGCTTTATAACACGACAATGTTGTCAGCGCTTAGGCTTAGTAATAAATAGGTCACTTTCATGTCCTGTAGTTAAAGGCATCGGAGGTACTAGTAAAGCGACACAGGGATATATAAATTTAAAATTTTATTCTCGGATAGATCGTAACGTTAACTTTGATATAAATGCACTAGTAGTAGATAGGGTCACTGAACGGTTGCCAACCGTTTCGGTTGACACCTCGGCAATGATTGAATTTAAAAATTTGACTCTAGCAGACGACACTTACGCCGTTCCTGGAAACATAGACATGCTCATTGGGGCATCGCTTTTCCCTCATCTTTTGTTAAACAATAAGGTCAGGGGCAACTCCTCGCATACCGCGCCTTACGCACTGGAAACCGTATTGGGCTATGTGATCCTTGGCTCCGCCCCCATCCTAGATAGTATTTCGGCAGCCTCTTATTGTGGTATGGCTGTCGAACCGCTCGAGTCGTTAGTCCGCAAATTTTGGGAGATGGAGGAGGTGAACGTCCCACCCATAGCTAGTTCAGATGACAGGATATGCGAGGAAATTTACGTCCGCACGACCGTTCGTGATCGCGACGGTAGATATAGTGTAGCGCTACCCTTTAAGGGAGATGTTTTATCTCTCGGCGATTCGCGTCAAATGGCGGAAAAACGTTTCTACAGCTTGGAGCGTAGGATGCTCGCTTCGCCCCAGTTAAAGGAAGCTTACGACGGCGTCATTAACGAATATATAAGAGAAGGTTACATATCACTTGTGGCTTCGAAATTAGATAACTACGAAGACACACCGTCGTATTTTATACCACTAAAACTAGCACTCACCTGTCGCTTAACGATATCCTCTATAGTGGGCAAAATTTACAGGGCAGTTTATTTGATATAATAGTCAATTTTCGTTTGTTTAGTATAGCACTATCCGCCGATATTCGCCAAATGTTTCTTTGCATAGGGGTCCGTGAATGCGACCGTAGATTCCAGCGCATTTTATATCGTTTCCACCCAAAGGAACCTCTAATGGTGTTAGAATTTAACCGCGTTTGTTTTGGTTTAAAGTCGAGCCCATTTCATGCGTTACGCACGGTGAGACAGCTCGCTCACGATGAAGGTCCCTCTTATCCTAAAGCTAAGAGGGCAATTGAGAGCGGATTATATATGGATGATTTTGTGTATTCGGTCGATAGCGTGGAGGAGGCCACCCTAACCACCGCCGAGGTTATAAGGCTCATGAAATCAGGTCAATTCGATCTTGTGAAGTGGACTAGTAATTCGCGTCCGGTTTTAGATACAATCCCACTATCACACCGTCTTTCGGCGATAAAGGAATTCGACGATTCCGATACACACAAGGTGCTCGGTCTGTGTTGGTCACCAGAGTCCGACGTGTTTAGCCTTAAGGTAAATCCGCCCGTAGAGAAATGCACAAAGCGCACAATACTGTCATGCGTTGCTAGATTATGGGACGTCATGGGTTTCGTAGCTCCGGTGGTATTATACGCTAAGCTTTTGATTAAACAACTTTGGTTATTTGAATGCGATTGGGATGACTCGCCGCCTGACAGCATTGTTCGATTGTGGCAGCGCTTTAGAGAGGAACTTCCTTTACTAAGAGAAATTAAAATACCGCGTCATATAAATGTCGATAGAAATAGCAGCATAACGGTTGTTGGATTTGCAGACGCCAGCGAGAAGGCCTACGGGGGCGTTGTATATTTCCATGTCCAGAATAATGGTAGAAATTCGATTAGCCTCATTAGTTCTAAGTCGAGAGTCTCCCCCCCGTAAGGTTGTCTCTCTGGCGCGCTTAGAGCTTTGCGCAATATTAGTACTCACCAAGCTTATTACCACAGTTATCGGCGCATGTAGGGATAGAGTTCACATAGAAAGAATATTTGCCTTTTCCGACTCCACCGTCGCCTTATGTTGGGTTCATTCTTCACCCCACCGTTGGGATACGTTTGTCGCGAACCGAGTGGCCAAGATCCAAGACGAGTTAGAAACGCGGAACTTTTATCACGTGTCCGGTAAGGAAAACCCTGCCGATTGTCTATCCCGGGGACTCACCCCGATGCAAATAATGGACCACCCGCTTTGGTTCCATGGACCTTCTTGGGTTTACTTGGATCCCTCACAATGGCCAATAACCGATTTCGAACCTTCGTCAGTGTCACAAC